ATCTTGGCTGGAAGGGTGAGGGGTACTGGCTGAGGGGCCAGCAAGCTTGGGCGGCAGATTCCTATCATTTCAAGATGCGTCTCTCACCACCCCCGCCCCCCAACCCCGTTTTCCTGTTTCAGAAAAATCTCTTTTGGATTTTTTTTTAAATCTCTGCAGTGTTGTGGAAGGCAAGGAGGGGGGTTCTGGATGGAGAAGGGAGGCCCATATCTTACATCTGGCTTGAAACATTCCTTGAGAAAGGGAAGAAGGGGGATGAGGAGAAAAGCCTTCCGAAGTTCAGAGTGAGCACAAAGCCATCCTTTACCTTCAGGGCTGTTTGGCTGGGGACAAGCACCCTCAGGGGCCCAGCAGAGAAAGGATGAAGTGGCCGCTGCACATCTTTATCCACCCAGATGGCAGTTTGCTTCTAGGGACTCGCGATGCCTTCCTTCCAGTTTGGGATGCTGTCTTGGGGACCATGTGAGGAGGAGTCAAGTCAGTCTGGTAGTGTCAGCGTGCTGGAGGTGGTTCCCAAAGACCCATCTGGAGTTCTTGCTGGTCCCCATTTTGTCCCCGTGGCGACTGTCTCCGCCTTTTCCTTTCTGCCTCTACTACGTGCCCCCCACGTGGTTCATATTAAAGTTTTTGGAAAAAGTCCTGGGTGGAAAGCAGGCGGGTGAAGCAGAGGGTCCAGCAGTCCTTGTGCCGGGAGGGGGGCAGCAGCAGGCCAGGACCGGGAGTGAGTGCAGAGGGTAGTTCCACTCCTGGCTGCACACCTGCAGGTCACAGCTGCAGGGCCCTGGTGCCTGCCTCTGTGGGCATCACTTCTGGGATAAAGTGGAAAGCTGCTTTCTAAAGGCTGGTCAGACCCCCAAGGGGGTTCTCTCTCTTTCCCATAGGGAAACCCCAGCAAGACTGGTACTCTCTACAACCCCCAGAGGAGATGCTGTGGGCTGTGTGCATCCCTGTCCCACTCTGGAGCAGTCATCGCTCTCACCAGCAAACAGGCTGCTCTTCCTCACAGCCCTTCCCTTCTTTTCCAACCACTGCTCCCCTCTCCTCCTCTAACTAGAGGAGGAAGAGATGGTCTCTTCAGACTCTATAACAAACAAGGAACAGGCTCCTGGCATGTGCTTCCCTGTTCCATTTTGCACGGGTTGGACATGTCATGGATTCACAAAGGGAGAGGAACAGAGTGGCATCATAACATTAGCAATATTGTTGCCATGTAATGAGCTCTTACTAAGCTCCAGACTCTGGCTAAACACTTTATGAACATCATCATCTTCGGTCCCCCCAATAATCCAGGTGCTGTTATTATCCCCATTTCACATAAGAAAGTGAGGAATAGGAGGGAATGGCATGAAACGCAAGTTCAACCCATTCTGAAGTCAGATCAGCCCACTCCTGGCTAAGCCTCCCTTGGAGTGAAGATGACCTTGGACGTTGGAGTTCACCTAGTTCTCCCGTGACTAGCTCTGATGGACAGAGCTGGCTATTATCACTTACTACTCCCAAAACCTGTTTCTTCACTTGTTAAATGGAAATCTCTCTTTCTCCTAGGACTGTTGTATAGAAAAATGTTTCATAAACTGTAAGGTACCATATAAATGATGTTGTATTAAGAGATTAAGGGAAGTTAATAGTTTTATCCCTGTGTTCAAAGCTGTATATGAGCTGGACTGAACCATGTGCACTAGGGACTATAAAAGAAAGGAAAAGAGGAAATAAAAGAGGCCCCCTGACCTCATTAACAAGACACAAACAAAACATGTGCAAATATGCTGGCAATGGCTACAAGGAGTAACGCTGTAATTGAAATGAAGTTTATGACTAGCTGGGGGGAGAAAAAAGTAGGGGGTATATCAGAGCAGTTAGGTTTAGTCAACAAATAGTTATTGAGTACCTACTATGTGCCACACACTGTTCTAGGCACCGGGGATATTGAAGTGAACAAAACAGACACAAATCCCTGCCTTCACGGAGCAGTGCACGCAGATCACCTGGGTGTTGGTAAGGTGCAGTCCCTGACTCCTTCGGCCTGGGCTGGGGCCTGAGGCTCTGCACTTGCAACAGATCCCCAGGTGATGTGAATACTGCTGTTCTGGGGACCACACTTGGAGTAGCAGGGGCTAGCATACCAAGTAGGATATGAGTCACTTTGTCAAAGGGAGAGATGTAAATGGGTCAAAAGCAGGTGAAGAAAACGTTCTGGGGCAGGAAGCTGGGAAGGGAGGGAAACTTCTGGTTGGGTAAACATAGCCAGAGGGTCAGGGGTATCTCACCACTACCAGCCCATGAGCCGGGATGCCTTCAACATCTCTTTGACCCTAACAGCTGAGCTGAGTGCTTGGCACACGGTAGGCATTTTGCAGGCGTGTGCTGAGAAGGGGATGGGCTGGGGCTCGGGCTCAGTTTTATTGGAGGTCCTCACACCAACTACAAGGGGCTGGCCGTGGTCAGCAGGCAAGCGCCTGCTCTGTAGAATCTTGAAGCAGCCACTTGGTGGGGTGAGGGGGGTAGTAGGAGAAACTTATTTATTCTTCCCATCTTAGATACTGAGCAGATGTTCCCACGTTCAGTGAGGATGTTAACAAGAAGGACCAGTGTGGGCTACAGCAGGATGGATTTAAGTCAGACCACAGGAAGGACTTTTGCCAGAGTTTGGCCTGCCTCACTCCAGACTGTCTCATGAGGGCTGGATGACTGGTCTCCCATTCCCATCCAACCCCCCTCTTCCCAAGCCCCAGTAAAAAACAAACAAACACCCATTGCATAGGGCGATACTCTGGGCTGAACTGGGGAAGCAGAATGGTGGTGAGACAGGGACGAGCTCCAACTCCAACGTCTTGAATCTCCAAACAAAGCACCGCAGCAGTGGGTGTAACTCCGGGCTGTGCGTCAGGCGGCCCTTTCCGGCCTGGCCCAACCCGGGGTGTTTATTTTGTTTGTTCCTGGAAGCTGTTGCCCTGATGGACAGTGCTGGGGACGCTGATTCCATGGGATTTCTCAGTGTCTGGTCAGCCCTCTCACCCCTCCCCCGGGACAGATGGGCCCCATCAGCCCTGCTGAGTTCCAGAAGAGGCATCAGCCCTCCTTGTGTTTGTTTGAGTTGGTATCACCCGTGGTGATCCAGTCTATGCGTGAGGGCGGAGTGTGTGAACTGGGGGAGGGGGCTCATAGAGCCCAGGGCAGCCCAGCTTTTCCCCTTTACCCATTGACCACCCACCCTTCTCCTCACCCACTTCTAGGCCCATTTGGGGGGCTTTCCCAAACCACAGGCTCATTCACAGCCCACACCAAAATCTTTTCTGTTGTAGCAGTAGAAAAGCAGGCCCCCCACCTGTTCAGAAAAGGGGAGAGAAGGCGTCCCTTGATGTGTTAGGACAGGAGAATGATGAATTCCCAGCAAATCAAGGAAGGTGTTGGAGAGATAGAAAGGGAGTGAGGAGTGGGTGAGTGGGTGAGATCTCATTTGGTGGTCTTATGAGGAGAAAAAGTGATGATACACTCTGGTCTTCTCTCTGGGCTGGTGGTGGAGTCCGGGCTAAGAGTGTTTGAATGAAAAGATTGCCGGGAGAAATCTGAGAATGACTCTACCAACCCACCTATCTTTTAGTAGCCAAATGATCTTCTTATAGTAGTTCATATTGGGCAAATTGGGGACTGGAATATGGGGAGTGTCACCCTTTTGCTTTACCTTAGCCTTTGGCTTCCCACAGCAACAGCCCTCTGCCCATGCAGGACACCCTGCCCTATAAGTTGGGGAAGAGGATTTTGAAAGAATCAAGACTCAGAAGCTACAAAAGGCCATTGGCCTGGAAATAAAGAGTATGGGGAAGAGCTGGGAGTGGGGTCTCCTCCCCAGATCTCGGCATTGGGAATGAGGATCTTAGCTGAATGGTCTGACTAGGGCTATAAACATTACTCAGAGCTGCCCTTGATGTCTCTTCCCACTGGCCCCTCCCTGTCTCCATCCTTCTTCTCCCAAACCATGTCTTCATGGACCAGCCATGCAGGATGTGCCTCTTACATGTGAGAGTAAGAGTGTTATCTCAGACTCTCGTTTTGTTAGTTTATTTTTCCATGAGGCTCTTAATGTTTGTTAAATAAACAGGCAATGGGTTTATGTGACATGCCCACAGCTTTCTGTGTACGTGACACATGCCTGGCCTGCATTCTGGGAGTGTGTGTCACTTTGGCCTTTGGCAGGGGAACTGGCGATGCTGGGAGACCACTCAATTACTCTCTCTGCAACTGTAGAGCTATTTCTCCGGAGCTTGTGGGGACCGATTCTATCCATCAGCCTCGGGGAATGTGGGCTGGGAAAGGGGAAGGCACCATTCCAGGGTCTGAATGCCAAGCCTTCCCTTCCTTAATCCTGTCCTGATGCAGAAAAAGGGCCAAATGCTCTGACAGGGCCATTTCCACCTTGCAGGTACATCGGGGCACTGGGGGCCCGAGTGATCTGTGACAATATCCCTGGTCTGGTGAGCCGGCAGCGGCAGCTGTGCCAGCGTTACCCAGACATCATGCGCTCGGTGGGCGAGGGTGCCCGAGAATGGATCCGAGAGTGTCAGCACCAGTTCCGCCACCACCGCTGGAACTGCACCACCCTGGACCGGGACCACACTGTCTTTGGCCGTGTCATGCTCAGAAGTAGGGGCCTCTTCCACCCTGCCCGGCTCTTCCTTCCCTTCCTATGCTTGGGGTGGTGAGTGGGTAGGGAAGGCGTGATCCCCTCTCCCTCTCCTGCACACTTCATCATCAGAGAAACCATTGTGGGCAGAGCGCAGGATACAGTTGAGAACAGACCCTCAGTACTTTAGATATGTAGCCAGGGGTTCTTCTAGGTCCCAGTATTCTGGGGTGACAGGACAAAGGAGCGGCATTCCATCTTTCTTCCTCCCTTTCCCGTCCCTCCCCAACCCCCAGCACCATCAGGCTGAGGACTAGGTTCTTATCACACATTCACTCCCCTCACTCCAATACTCCCAACACTACAGTAATGGGAGCAAAGATAAACAGAAAGGTTTATCTTTGGGCCGGGGTGTCCCCTGTTGGGAACTGTCCAGCGGAGTGGGCCTGAACAGGCATGGACTGTGGACCGAGACAGGCTTAGCTGCACTCAGTGGGAAGGGACGGTGCAACTTGGTCATGGATACATCCAAGCAGTTTGGAAGGAAGCAAGAGCCCAGGTCAGCCCAAGAGGTCAGATGTACAAAAAAGTGGCTGGAAAGTAGTGAAGGCTAGGGGAGGGATCAGGGCCATTTGAGTCAAGAGGGTACAGGGGTTGCTCTAGGAAACAAGGAGATTTCAGTCGTCGTTCTGTGGGCCTCCGTGCTGAGACACACTCTCCCTTCCTCCCTCTAGGCAGCCGGGAGGCAGCGTTTGTATATGCCATCTCGTCAGCAGGGGTAGTTCACGCCATCACCCGCGCCTGTAGCCAGGGGGAACTGAGTGTGTGCAGCTGTGACCCCTATACCCGTGGCCGACACCATGACCAACGTGGGGACTTTGACTGGGGTGGCTGCAGTGACAACATACACTATGGCGTTCGCTTTGCCAAGGCCTTCGTAGATGCCAAGGAGAAGCGGCTCAAGGATGCCCGGGCCCTCATGAACTTACATAACAACCGCTGTGGTCGCACGGTCAGTATTCACGCCAGCATGTGCCTTCCGCTTTGCTGGGGGCGACCCTATGTCTGATCACAGGATACATGTGAAGGAGGAAGTGCTGACGGCTCTGGGTCACTTCCAAAAGACCCGACCCCTTGGGACAGGAGCAGTAAACACAGGGAGCTTGCGAATGCCGCGGTGCAGCCAGGTACACAAGGTCCTCACATAGGAGGAAAGCAGGGGGAGACGGAGAAAAGAAGGGAAGTTAACTCTTTAAGAAGGAAAAAGCTGCCTCCATAACGATTGAGGAGGAGAAGGACTTGTTCACTGGTCTCTGAGCACCTCCTCTGTGCCTGGTCCTTGCGGAAAGTGACATGTCACAGAAGGAGAAGGCATGATACCCTGAACTCCAAAACACATGATGTGCCAGTGTCCTGTAATCGTAAACAGAGTCCTGTGGCCCTAAAGTTCCAATGGCCTGTCATAAAAAGGAGAGCACTGCTGGTCCAGGAAGGCTTCCTGAAAGGAGAGGTTCTTGCATTTGATCAGGAAGAATGGGTGGGATGGATGGGGTAAGACCGACCAATGGCTGCACTAGCTAGCTGGGACCAGGTCCCGCAGCCTGCAGAGCCCTCATGCTTTCAGTCCTCGAGGTGATTAAGGGCCCTGACTGGCTGCCTCTCCTTTACCTGCCTCCCACCCCCCAGGCTGTACGGCGGTTTCTGAAGCTGGAGTGTAAGTGCCACGGCGTGAGTGGCTCCTGTACTCTGCGCACCTGCTGGCGCGCGCTCTCAGACTTCCGCCGCACAGGAGATTACCTACGGCGGCGCTATGATGGGGCTGTGCAGGTGACAGCAACCCAGGATGGCGCCAACTTCACAGCAGCCCGCCAAGGCTATCGCCGTGCCACCCGGACCGACCTTGTCTACTTTGACAACTCCCCAGACTACTGTGTCTTGGACAAGGCTGCAGGTGGGTAGAGAAAGCAGATGGGGAGGTGGGGGCATGGAGACCCAGTTCTTAATGCCAGCACCCCTGGGGAGTCACAGTTTGTTCAGCCTCAGGAGTTAGGGAGGGGAGCTGAGGGAGGAGTTAGTCTCCTCCTGATATGAAAAACCTCATAATGAGATTGGTGATTTATGCCTCGGTCCGCCAAACCCAGTGCTGCCCCAGCAGAGAGGAGAGGTCGCTCAGCTCCTTCAGGCCTGAGGTCTGTATGGTATACAGATGTGATAGATACGACTCAGTGAATGTTAAATGAGTCCCCTGTTCTCAGTATCTCAGTACCGAGCAATGCATGGACCACACCTAAGCATAAGATGCAGCTCCAAGTCATTGGCTCTTTACAATCTAGCTAAGAAATGAGATATAACAGGTAGACAGATGCAATTGCAAAGGAGAGACAAATGGAGAAAGCAACAGAAGCTGAGCTGCAAATGTGGAATGTAGCTGTTTCTTGAGGTGTGGGCATTATCTGGGTGCTAGAGGGGACAGGTGGCATCGTCTGCACAGAGCAGAATGGTAGGTGGTGCCCCATCTGTCCCAGGAACAGAGGGCAGATTAATATCCCGAGTGGAGAGCTGGGGTGAAGGAGGTTAAAGGTAGAAGGACACTTGGGATCAGACCATCAGTGGCCTTGGAAGGCTTATCCCATGGCTGCCACCGAACTGTCTAAAGAGGGGCTAGGAAGGCAAGGAAAGCAGAGGTTCCTGCCAGGCAAACCACTGGCAGGGAGCAGCAAACATCTGTACCAGATATTGTGGAGGGATTGTTGGGGTGCTGGAAAGTGAAATGGTGTTACCCCAAAAGAATGGAAGTCACCTTCTGGGCTCAGGTTTCGGGTTCAGATAGGTTAATCTAGGAACAATGCGCAATGCCACAGAACCGCGCTTCCCTGGGAACTGCCGTGGACTCCCAGGCTCTTCCCTGCAGACCCAACCATCAGACTCGGCTGCGGTGGGGTGGACTCAGAAACCTCGGCTGTCTTTGGTACTGCTTTTCACCCATCACTGTCCTTACTGGGAGTCAAGTGCCTCAGAGCAAAACTGGCATAGACATAGAGCGGGGCTGGGTATGTTTCCTGCCAATGTGGTGACTGAGAGGACCACTTCCCAATGCTGGAAATCATTCCAGAACCTCTGAGGTGTAAGCCTATGCATACACCTAAAATGCACATTTGGGGAAGAATCTTTGGAGTTAGGATGAGTCATATGTATGTTGCTTTTTCTCAGAGGCATAAAATTAAGGCTCATAAAACCCAAGTGGGTTCTGGAATTCAAAGGGTCCAAGTTATCCCAGAGGGTAGAATTCCCTCCAGGGCAGTGCTGTGCAACTGAACTTCTGTGACGATGGAAATGTTCTAGGGCTAATACACTAGCCACTCAGCTACATGTGATGACTATTTTTTTTAAATATATTTTTATTAATTTCAGAGAGGAAGGGAGAGAGAGAGAGAGAGAGAGAAACATCAATGATGAGAGAATCATTGATCAGCTGCCTCCTGCATGCCCTACACCGGGGATTGAGTCCACAACCCAAGCATATGCCCTGACCAGGGATTGAACCGTGACCTCCTGGTTCATAGGTTGACACTCAACCACTGAGCCACACCAACTGGGCCATGTGATGACTATTTTGAAATACAGCTAGTGTGCCCAAGGAACTAAGTTTTAAAATTTATTTAACTTTAATTCTTTTAACTCTAAATGAACACATCTGGCTAGTGGCTACTACACCAGATAACTCAGCTCCAGGGGGTAGGGGAGACTTCTGATGCCCAGGAAGGACTTAAAACCCAGCCCTTGCAGTGATGAGAGTAACATGCATAGGCAACCTCGCCAGCCCATGCCCCAAGCAGTGGTCTCTTGACATTTAGATTGTATATTCCTAGCGTATAAAAAATTTGAGCATACACCTCCAATATATGCATATTTACTTATAAACTACATCTATGTTCCACTATACTAATATGTATATTATAAACAATACAGAATCGATATTTTAAATTGATGTGGTAAAAAACAAATATAGAGGTTCTTGTATTTTCTTCTCCTATCCCAGTGGAATGTCAGACTGCTGCTATAGAAATGAGTTAATTGATTCCCCTTGTTGAACCCCCAGGCTAGTCAGTTTCCCATCTCTGGGAAAGGGCTAGAGGAGATACGCCTAGGGTCCATCCCATCCAGAATTCTTTGGTTTTATGGTATGTTGGCAAGGTCCCCTGTGCTAATATCAGTGAGACTGAGGTCCTGAGCATCATCTGTGCAGAGGGAAAGCATCTCCCTTACCCTTCGAGAGTCCCCCTTTTAGGGTCTTTAGGAATTCCTTAGGGGTGTGCTTCCAGCCAGTCATGCCAATCAGTTCACCTCCTCCGTTGAACAGAGATTGTAGATCTAACACAACAATCCACTGAGTTAGATGCTATTATTATGCCTATTGTCAGATGAGAAAAACAAAGCCCAGAGAGATTAACTAAGTTGTAAATCACATAGCTAAAAAGTGGCTGACATATAAGCATAACCAATGGACATAAGACACTGGGGGGTAGGGGAGGGGTAGGGTATTGTCAAGGGCGGGGGGAAAAAGGAGACATATGTAATACCCTTTGTAATACTTTAAGCAATAAAAAAAAAGTGTAAAAAAAAAGTGGCTGAATGGGATTTAAACCTATACACTCTGATACCAGGCCCAGCTTTTAATGGCCATACTATACTACTTCCCTGTATAGTACAACTTAATAAAATATAAACTAAGGACCAAAATACTAACAAATGGTAGCTGGATCAGAGTTGTGGCAAGATTTCTTGGAAAAGATAAATTATAGGCTGTTATTTCTTTTAACTCCTTATTATGGGAAAATTCAAACATAAAAGAGAGGGCCTTCAGCCAGCTTTAACAATGACGAGCATTTTAAGGCTAGGCTTTGCAGGGGGTCTAGAGATGTGTGCTGGCAGGGAGGGCACAGCAGGTGAAGTCAGTGGTCTTGAGGTGGCCTTGCTGGTGGGAGGAAACGAGGCTGGTGTAGAGGGCCATGAGGAGATGATCATTTTGGCTAGTGGGTGTGT